GAAATATATCATACTTATGTAACAAAATATATCGTATCGTATATAAGGAAATCGTATATATCGTATATAAGGAAATATATAAGGAAATTTAATTAACTATATGCCGAGTATATGCATGTCTTTATTGTTATATCATATATGTCATATATGTATATTTATATCAATGGCATGTTGTGTAATTATTCTAGTTAACTAAGGTATTTTAGTTAAAAGGTGTGAGAAGGCTTGTGGAGTTGCCACGTAGGAAATGGCATGCATGTAATAAACACATGAAGTAAAGGTTTATTTGCAAAAGTTCTCCTCAAATAATAAGAAGGGGAAGAGTTTCTAGCCTTCAAGACACCTCTCTCTAATCTACTACTTTCGCTTTCTTATTACTGTTTCCTTACAAAAATAAGATACAGATGATTGTCTACTCCACGTTTCTTCTTCTTTGTTGCCTTTATTTATTAATTAATTAATTACAATAAAAGATAATGATGTGATGATAGGAGATTACGTGGCACTTGTTCCCTTTTAAGTTTCTTTTAAATCTCCATAAAACATAGTACTAGTATCTCTTCGATTCTTCCGACACAGTAGAAAGACAACTCAAAAAAAGTGGAGTGTGAATTTGGGTGGATTTAGCTTCACTAATTTAATTGTAAACATGATTGTTTTAGCTTATCATCATAATTGTGTTTTGAATAAATTATTAATAGCTGAACGTGAGAAAGAAAAGAAAAAAAAAATACTAATAAGCAGAGGAAACAAGTTTTGGCAGATGTAAAGGTGGCGGGAGTGGGTTGGGTGAGATCATACGAAAAGGACGGTGCCTTGCCCTCTATCTCAATCTTCTTCGACTGAAAACTATTTACAGGAAAGTGGAGAGCTTTTGTTTCTTCACGTTTCTCATCGCCAAAAAAAATTAGGACAAAATCCCAAATCCGCTTTCTACTCTGAAAGTTGTAGACGTAATAGAGACAATCAAATCCCTCGGGGGAGGAGAGCTTTCAGGTTAAGGCACTGAAATCTCCAACAAAAAGAGATCAAATCTGTTCTTTAAAAAAAAAAAAACACCAACTCGAAGAAAGCTATCGATTTGTTCGACATGGATTTCTGGCCAGAGTTTATGGCGAGCAGCTGGGGAAGAGAGTTCGTCGCCGGTGGATTCGGAGGCATCGCCGGTATTATCTCCGGCTATCCCTTGGACACCCTGAGAATTCGTCAACAACAGAGCTCCAAATCCGTATCTGCCTTCACCATTCTCCGCCGGATGCTCGCCGTCGACGGTCCTACCTCCCTCTACAGAGGCATGGCTGCACCCTTGGCCTCCGTCACTTTTCAGGTTCTTCTTTCTTAGATTCCCCTTTTTTTTTTTTTAATCACAGCATCTCATGAATATCCCACTTCGCATGACCTTTTTGATTCCACTGGCATATTCTCTTGTGATATACTCATCGTCTTCTTCTTGTGATCATGTCACAGAATGCTATGGTGTTCCAGATATATGCAATACTCTCTCGCTCCTTTGATTCCTCTGTTCCCCTAGAAGAGCCTCCTTCCTACAGAGGCGTTGCTCTTGGTGGGGTTGGCACTGGTGCTGTGCAGAGCCTCTTGCTTAGCCCTGTTGAGCTCATCAAGATTCGTCTTCAGCTGCAGCAGAGCAACAGCGGCCCCCTCGGCTTGGCTAGGACCATCCTCAGAAGAGAAGGGCTCAAGGGGATATACAAAGGCCTCACCATAACGGTTCTCAGAGATGCTCCAGCTCACGGCCTCTACTTCTGGACTTACGAGTACGTACGAGAAAGGCTACACCCGGGCTGCAGGAAAAGTGGAGAAGAAACCCTCAGGACCATGCTGGTCGCAGGTGGCCTAGCTGGTGTGTCCAGCTGGGTCGCTTGCTATCCTCTTGATGTTGTCAAGACCAGGCTTCAACAAGGGGGTCATGGGTCTTACGAGGGCATTGCCGATTGTTTTCGCAAGAGCATCGCTCAGGAAGGCTATGGGGTTCTCTGGCGTGGCCTTGGGACTGCAGTTGCCAGGGCCTTTGTTGTCAACGGTGCCATTTTTGCTGCTTACGAGGTTGCCTTGAGGTGTTTATTCACTCAATTGACGCCCGCTGATGTTGTCACAGGAGACTTGAGTAAAAACCAAAACAAGACGCCTAAGGCAGCCTTGAAGATTCATAAAGAGTGACTCTAGTTAATAATATTGTTAGCACAGAAAGTTTGAGTTGGGATTTGGATTGCATGGTCATACAAATCTGACTCGCTTTATGGATCCCGCAGAAACCTCGTCTGTGATAAATAGTTGAGCATTAAGTTGGAAAACCAATAGAAAACATATGAAATGAAACACTCTTTTGCTCTATGCTTTTCTATTTTACCTTCTTTGCTAAACCAAGGATGCCATGGATTTCCTCCAAAATATTCTCATATGTTCCTCGCTCTCCTAGACACGGCCATTAATGCTGACTTGGTTGCTTTAGGATGAATTTATATGACTTGGTTGCTTTAGGATGAATTTGTATGTTTATAAGAATCGGTACAACAGTCTGTGAACGGCTCCGTACCCTTTGGTGGAATAACCGAGCTGAGCCGATGAGAATGAGATGTTCTTTTAAACGGATCATTGGAGTATCAAGTATCTACCAGTAAAATAGATGCATAGTCCTTTGCATGGCTTATTGCTCTACCTGAAAAACAAAAGCAGGGATGAAACTTTTGTTGTCTCAGTCGAATCATCAATAATCAAAAGACTTGAAATATTATTGGAACTACAAAACTCACCAATTGATTGGTTTACTGCTTTTCATACACAGATTCTCAGAGTATTGTTTCGCTCTCTGATTGCAGCTTTTTAATATGACAAACCCTGCTTGAACATCTCCACTGTAGTAAGACTTATCAACACAATTCAGACAAGGTTTTCCGGATTATGTATCTCCAAGACCTTCTATATGCTTTCTTTGCTCAAACATCTCAAATATCAGACGGGATGGGGATAAGGCAGAAGCCGCAGACCAACCCTCAGAAGTCACAACACACGGATACATGTTTTCGCTGAAGTTGATTCTTCACTAAGCACAGCTAGCATTATTGCCTCTCTTTTCGGTTTTTGTTGCTTCCTTGCAATCTCGGAGAACAGCTTCCACCTCAGTGTTTCTTTCTTTGAACACACGCAGCATGCTCCATTTCAAGCAGGTGCATCATTATGAAGCCCATTTCAGGAATCAAATAAGCCCAGTTTAACTAGAAATATACTTGTTGTGCCGACAAAAACACGAGTTAAACCCAATGGCCCTATCCTATCTATCAAAATAAAATCCGACGCTTGTCTTCAATAATTTCCTTCTCAGTAAGTCAGTATTGGTTCCTTAAAAAAAGTTTGTTTCTCTATTAATTAGGAAGTCCTTCCAAGAAAAAACATTTTCTTCATCTATTCAATTGTATTTGTATTATTTTAGTAACATTGGTTGTTTTATTATAATACCTATGTTGTATGTATTGTTACAATTATACAAATAAAACAGTTGTAAAGAAAGGAAAAAGAAAAAGGTTTGTTTCTCTAATGTGTTAAAGGTGGAGTCCTACTTCAGTGACAGCAATCTACCCAGATATTGGTACATTTCACTCTCCTCTATGAGTAGATTGTAAAGTAAGCGTTTTTGGGATGGGATTTTAGCATAGTGTCATACACCTCACATTTGTATGCTACTCCAATACTTTGGCAAAAAGAAGATAAGGAAAAAAAAAAACTTGAAACAGAGAGCAGTGTTTTTAAATTCATACCTTATATACGACAATGCAACTTGTTTGGAAGAGAAATTGACCCTTTCCATCATTAGTTAGAAGAAGCACTTTACTCAGACAACCGGAGTCAGAAGTGATTTCCCAGAAAAATGCGCTTCCAAGTTACCCACCACAAGATCGGCCATAGCATTCACTGTCTCCACAGTGTCACTTCCAACGTGAGAAAGGAGAACCACATTTTCAAGTCGAAAGAGCACCTCAGGCACGTGAGGCTCCTGCTCAAACACGTCCAGAGCAGCCCCACCTAAGCGGCCTTCTGTTAGAGCTTTCACAAGCGCTTGCTCATCAACATGTGCCCCACGCCCAATGTTTATCAGCACACCGTTTGCACCTAATGCATCCATCACCTGCCGGTTCACAATGTGTCTGGTCTCGTCAGTTAATGAGCATGCCACGACGAGGATGTCTGAGTTTTGAGCAAGCTCAACCACCGTTGGATGATACTTGTAGCCTACATCAGGCTTCTCTGTTCTTGAGTAGTAACTGATTGGGCAGCTAAAGGCTTCGGACCTCTTTGCGATGGCAGTCCCAATTCTACCAAGACCAATGATGCCCACGGATTTTCCACTAAACTGAATCAAGAAGAAAAAAAATGGATGTTGAGGATCTTATATCATGTCTCCATTACTGAAAACAAATGAGAAGTGAACATAGTATAATTTTTGATACATCTATGTATTAGTCGTATTAACAAAGAAGTTGGTAGAGTGAGAGAGACCTTTGTAGTGAGTTGGAAATCGCCATACTTCCATTTACCGCTCCTAACATAGGAATCGCACTCAGACAAGCGTCGGAGGAGAGCAAGGATAAGGCCAATCGCGAGATCTGCGACGTCTTCGGTGAGAACGTCGGGAGTGTTGGTGACTCGGATCCCCTTTTCCTTGCATTTCCGCAAATCGATCTTATCGAGGCCGACGCTGAAGCTGGAGATAATCTCAAGCTTGGGGAGATCATTGATGAGCTCAGCGTCAGCGCCTGTAGAAGCATTTCCAACAACGGCGCGGATTGAGTCCCGAGTTTTCAGAAATATGGACTTCTCCGGCAAGTTCCAGAAGCGAACTAGGTTGAAGCGCTTCTGAAGTTCGTTCTCGAGGTACGAGGGCATAGGGCACATCATAAGGACTCCGATTGATTCCATCATCTCTCTGGAAAGTGGAAACACTGTCTCTAAGTGATGAATGAAATGAATGGTTTAAGCTTTGCGATACTGTGTTTTGGGCCCTCCTAAGGATAGAAAGAAAGAACAGCTCCATAGAGATTTAAAAACTGGGCTTACGTTATAACTGGCCCATTTTCATTTAAACACTCAAGACATTATTTCACGCACGTCCGAAATCATGCAAATTTGAAATTCATTCTTTTTTTTCCGCTAAATTGTTAATATCATAGAAATGTAAGTTTGATTTTACAAAGAGTAGATCAAAGACACTGCATGTACTGTGGGTTGTTTACCAAATATTAATGCAACAAATCAATAATTCTTTGATATGAACACATGCAACATACAATATTGAATTATATTGTAATGGCAGGGAAGTCAGAAGAATTTTTAAGGAAGACCTACAAAAGGTCTCTATTCCCAGCTACAGGTAGCTCAACGTCTATGTATATATATCAACCTTGGTACCCTTGTCCTCTCCCATGAGCTCAGGTTACTGTACAAACCAAATACAAATGGCTCGACAAATAAGTAACAGCAAAAAGATTGACTCCCAAACAACTGCAGCCAACTTCACGATAGAACTGAGTACACATAAGACCTACCGTCAATTAATACAACAAGTTGACCTCATCAAATTGAAACAAAGGCATATGCACCTGGACTCCAGCAATATATACATATATATACATATATGTATCTATGTATGTTAGGGTTTAGGGTTTAGGGTTTAGGGTTTAGGGTTTAGGGTTTAGGGTTTAGGGTTTAGGGTTTAGGGTTTAGGGTTTAGGGTTTAGGGTTTAGGGTTTAGGGTTTAGGGTTTAGGGTTTAGGGTTTAGGGTTTAGGGTTTAGGGT